CGTGAAGGGCGGACAGGGGCAGGGATGGGGAACCGGGCCGCCGCGGAGGGGCGCGGCGCGGCGCGCATCCGAGGCGGCGGCGGCGGCGCGGCGGCGACTTACCGAGCCTGTCATCGGGCGTGGGCGGACAGACGCCTCTGCAGCTCGGCCGCGGCGGCACGCAAACGTCGCCAGCGCTGCGGAGGCGCCGCCGCGGCCGCGGGGCCCCGCCTCTCCCTCGCAGGGCGCGGGCGCGGCGGCGGCGGGTGGCTCGGAGCCGGGTCTCTCCGGCGGGCTGCGGGCGCGCTCTGCGGCGCCGGGCCTCCCTGCCGCCCGCCGGAAAGCGCGCGGCGGCAGCGGCGCAGGAGGCCGGGCTGCGCCGCGAGGAGTCGGGAGGCGCCCGCGACTCCGTGCCCCGGCCGCCTGCTCCGGTGGAGACGGGGCGAGGCGCCCTGGGGCCGGGCAGCGAGCACCGGCCGGAAGCGGCACCAGCAACACAGTCGGAGGTTGCGGCCGGTTGCCACGCGGCGACGCCACAGCCCAGATCGTGTGCGATGGCGAGGCGCGGGGGGGGGGGGGGGCTTTCGACAAAACTTAACCCGTGGAAAAGTTAGGCCAGGCAGGGCCGCCTCTCCCCCTGCCCCCCCCCCCCACCCCTGGGAACCCCCCCCCCGGGAATTCCACGGGGGGGGGGGCAGGAGGCACCCCCTTCCCTGCAGGACGGTGCTTCGGGGCAGCTCAGTGCTCAGCAGCGGCAGGCAGTGGGGGAGCCAAGAGCGCCACTCCTGCCCACCTAATGCAGGACATGGAAAGCACCAGTGGAAAACTGAGCTGTCTGAACTGTCTCGACACTTTCTGGCAGGCATGTCAGGAGCGGAACTGGCTGGAGCCGGGGTCAGACTAGATGGCCCGGGAGGTCCCTTCTGGCTTGCTCCATTTTCTAGACCGGGAGTGGCACGACCCAGACCGCTGGAGGCCTTACCTTCGGCCCCTGTGCCTGCCCAGCCTCCCTGCCACTACGGAGGTCCTCGCACCAAGTGCTTCCTGTTCCGGAGGCCCTTGTCCCCATGGTGCTTTGTTGCCATAGCAGGGCAAAAAATGCCCACGCATCCCTTTCTGGGTGCGTGCATTGTGCTTGCATGCAGCCCAGGCCTAGTGGTGATGGCTGCCAGCCTGGACAGTGCTTAAAGGCAGTGGACGGATCCACGAGGGAGGTGAGCTCACAGGGCCTGCCGGCCGTGCACTTCCTCCTTCCCGAGGTGGCAGGCCCACACACGCCAGGCCAGCCGCCGAGCTGCTGGGCGGGAGGAGCTCTGGCACCCATCCTGCCGGGGCGATCCTGCGGGCGGCTGGCTTGCCACTGTGTGAGTGGAGTGCCGGCCAGGATGGACCCTCAGTCTGTTCTCATGAGGCGCGATGCCACAATCAGGGAGAACTTCCGTTTCCCTCAGACCTGTCTGGAGAAAAATTCTGCCAAATGCCTTTCCTCCAAGAAAGTCCTAGCATGTGTCACTGACAACTTTGTTGCACAGAAAGTGGAGGAAGGTCCTGGGGGAGCAGCTGTCCTTGGCTTGATCCTAACCAGCCGCGAAGACCTAGTGCCCAGAGTGGCAGCTACGAGAACTCTGGGAGAAAGGGGCCATGCCGCACGTGAATTCTTGATTCTAAAGGAATGGTTGCACTTTGAGAATTGTGTTTTAAAAGATTTTCCATGCCTTTTGGACTCCTTTTCTGTTTAGAGTAAGTTGCCAGGGGATTTTACTTAACATTGTTCAGAATGTCTTGAAGTTGGTCCTCTTGAAGGGTACATGTTTGGCTACAGCTGACTTTGGCTATCTTTATAACTGAGAATTCACGAATGGCCTGGTTTCCCTCCCCCAGGGAACCTGTGGCTGCCACTCCGCCCACTAGGCCTGCCCTGCTGGTAAGCATTAGGTTGCGTGTAGCCATTCCTCTTGCTCTTTGCTGCGGGAAGTTCTCAGTGACACGCCAGGGATCTTGGAGAGGCTGTACGTGGCTGGAGACGTCTCGCAGCACATACCAGGGAGACTGACGCCCCCGGCGATGACCACGTCCCACTTCCTTGCAGCACTGGCCATTCGCTTTTCAGAGATAGCATTTTTGACCTTTAATTGGGTGGACAGTAATAGATGCCAGTAACTATGCTCTTTTGTTGTTTTGCTCCCCTTAACGTAAACCAGATGCTCCCAGTGTGACTACTTAGCTTCTCCCCCTGTCATTCACGGCAGGCAGAAGTGCCTTTAATGTACGGTGCAGCTCCACCTCCCTGCCTGTCCCTTCCGTGGCTGTTGTTTTGCAGACGGCCCCCCGTGTCCCAGCAGGCGGCCACGATGCCCTAATCCCCCTTGGAGCGCAAGCTCACGCCGCTGCCCATACGCTGCCCATTGGTGCAGAGACAAGGCAGCTCCCTGGGGGTGCAACCTGGCGTTCTTCCCTGCTGGGGCCGTGCTGTCAGTCCCTGTCTGAGGCCTGCTCCCTGCTGTGGCGCCTGCTCACTGCCGGGCGGTGCGGTGCCCTGGCGCACGCCCCCCTTGCCCCGTGACCCAGCTTGGAGCCCTCCTCACGAACTTCTTCAAGCTGAGGCCAAGGACACGCCTTCCGAGCCCTGAGAGGTGCAGCCCATCCTTCGCCAGTAGTCCTTCCTTCGGGAAGACTGTGGCCCCAGAGAGTTTGTGGGGAGAAGACTACCTGGGCCCTGGTGCTCAGTCTTTCCCCCCAGGAGCGCTGAAGGCTGATGTGATCTCCTCTGGACTCTTGACGGTTTCATTTGTTCCCACGGGGATGAGAGGAAAGGGGCTCTCATCAGAGGGCTGTCGTGAGCGGCACGCACCATGGGTCTTGGCTGCAGGGAGACAGCAATCTGATGCTTCCCTGGGTCGTCCCAACACATATTTTCCCACCCCTTGCAGTAGGGAGTCTCCCATAAGTAGCACTTTTCTTTTTGCTATTGCAAGCTTGGGCCACATTTCTTATGTTGGGTTCATTATGATTGTAAGCTTGGGCTGCATCTCTCCTATTTGCTTGTCCTTCGGTCTGGGTAGAGTCTCTCATATTTGGTTGTCTTCAGCCTCTTTTTTGGAGTTTCCCAATGTATTTATCAGTTCCTTCATAGCTGCCTGTTCCTGCACCTCTTTGAGTATCTGGAAGCTGTTTGAGATTTTCACCACTTCCTCCGCTGTAGTGCGTCTTCCAGTCCCTCTACCGGTGACTGCCACTTTTTCCCAGGGTGTTTTCCTCCTCCTTTTTCTCAGCCTTAGATCACTGTTGCCCCTCTAGTATCTCACTGGTTTTTGTGGTCTGTTGCAGCTCAGTTGCCCTCAGCTTTTTCTCTAGGAAGACAAGTCGCTCGTATTCCACCGTGCAGTCATTCCAGCTCACCGCCGCTCGGGGGCCTCTTTGCCCATTTTTTCTGGGTGGAAGCCTCTGCAGCCGGTCCTGTCAGGCCTTTCCATCTCCCTCCTCCATACTGGGGCAGAGGCTCGCGCTGGCTCTGTGTGGGACTCGAAGGAAGGATTCTTGGGCCAACGGGGGAAGTGGCGGCAGCAGCAGCGGCAGCAGCATCTTCCCCACAGCCCTTGCCCGCAGTGTACATGGGGCTCCCGTTGGCCCCTCCATGCTTGCCTTTTGGCACGGGGCTGTGCTAAGGACGCACTTCTGTTGCTATTGTGGCTCCGGCAACACTGGCGTTTGCCCAAGAGAGCACACACGTGTGTGCAGGGGCAGAAGGTGGAGCAGCTGTAGCCTGCGGGAAGCCTGGTGGGCCGGGGGGGGGGGGGTGCCACAGGGTCCAGTCCTGGGCCCAGCGCTCTTCAGCATTTTGATCGATGATTTCAGTGCTTCAGTGAAGTGCAGGGTGGGGTAACTAAAGCCCTGGAAGACTGAATGGAGAGTCAAGATGATCTTGATAGGTTGGAGCACTAGCCGAGTACAACAGAATGAAATTTAATAGGGACAAATGCCAAGATCTGCACCTGGGAAAAAGAAACCGAATGCATCATTTGGAGACGGGGAATACTTGGCTCAACAGTACTGCTCATGAGAAGAACCTTGGAACTGTGAACCACAATCTGATTATGAGTTGACAGTGTGGTGTGGCTGTAAAAAGGGCACATGATATTTTAGACTGTGTTAATAGAAGCATCACTTCCAAACCATGTGAAGCCTTGGTTCCCGTCTATTTGGCACTATTTAGGTCCCTTCTGGAGCACTATGGTCAGTTCTAGGCAACACGGTGTAGGAAAGATGCAGAAAAGTTGGAAAGGGTTCAGAGGAGGGCAACAAGGATGATCCAGGGGACTGGAAGCAAAGCCCTATGAGGAGGGATGGAAAGAACTGGGCATGTTTAGCCTGAGGGGAAATATGCCAGCACCCTGAAGTTCCTGAAAGGCCGCCACGCAGAGGGGGGCCAGGCCTCTTCCCCATCATCCCAGTACGCAGAACGCAGGCCAATGGGCTGAAGTCACAGGAACCAGGTTCTAGCCGAACATCGGGAAGAACCTCCTGCCCGCTGGAGCACTATGCCAACGGAAGCGGCGCCCTGGAGAGGCGGTGGGCTGCCCCACGGGGGAAGCATTCAAGAGCGGCTGAGCCGCTCTCGCGCCGGGATGCTTGAACTGGAGCCGGCCGCCGCTGCCGGTCGGGGCGCGCTGCTCACCCCCTTGCAAGAGGCGTCCCCGGCCCCCGGCCCGCCCGAGCGCCGCTCCGGCCAGCGGCCGCCTCCCGCGGGGCTCGGAAGAGGCCCTGGGCAGGCCGCCCGCTCGCGGCACCGCAGGCAGACGATGCGCCAGGCAGAGGCGTTATCCGACAGGTGCCGGGCAGCCCCGTTACAGCGGCCTGCGGGGCCCCTGGTCCGCGGGGCAGCGCGGGGGAGGCCGCGGAGGGCCCGTGCCTGGCGCATCGTCTGCCTGCGGTGCCGCGAGCGGGCGGCCTG